AAGCCGAATTCCGACCAACAGGTTAGGTCCTGGTAATTAAGAGCTTGATTGTCTCTATTGATTGGCAATTGCAATTAAACAACCGCACCCGCCGCACTACTCCGGACGGACGAGGGCCCTTCAAACGCCGTGTTTATTCATACGCTCATGCTCGCCGCTCGTCCGTCCGTGTGTGTGGACACGTGGAGAAGCGACCAGGTACAAAAAGAGCGCAACACTCGCGCATCGTTCGCCGATGATTCGCTAATCGACTGCAATCACTCAGCCGGACGCGACGCAATGTACCGACGTCGATGTACCTTTATCGTTTTCGGTTCTTTAGCACCGAAATGAATTTCCCGAGGAGATTCTGTTATAAACGTGGCTTTCTTTTCTTCTCCTTTTTCTCCTTCTTCTTTTTTGTCTCTGTGTACCGGTTTGCGTCAGAATACCCCTTGATCTCGGCTCCAGTGGCGGATGCCTCCCTGGCTCTTCATCTTTCATTAATAAAAATGTCGCGAGGCATCAACAAGTTTCAAGTTGTAAGCGCTCGGAAACGAAGGAAACGACTTTACTCTCTCGCAGCGAACTCAGCTCTTGAGGAGCAATCGAATGACGAGACTTTGTTGTTCGTTCAAACTCAAGTGGACTTGAGTTAAGGTTTTCGATTCGAAGTGGCCGGGGATAGTGTTCGATATCGTGTATTGAGAAACCGCGAAATTTCCTCGCGGGAATGATTGACACGTGGACTTCAGAGAGAAGAAACACGCAAACGAGAGGAAGGAAGTCGCATTGGAAAAATCGGACTAAGTTAAAATCGCAGGTCCACGGCGCGGCACGAAACTTTCTTCTCTTTGTCGTCTCGTCGTTACTTCCCGCTGCGCGCCACGTGGCAGCGGGGTGACACGACGAGAACATCCTTTCTGGCTGCGTTCCGGCATTCTATTGCCACTGCTACTGAAAATCTATAATTCGTATTACATACACTGTAGATTGTCAGTACTGACAATGAATGTCGAAACGCGGCCTCTGTTGAACGATTGTCATTTGAACCGAAAATTCGCGCGGTCGATGCATCGTAACTATCGGGAACTTGCACAAAGCGCGTCACAGAGACGCTGCTCGACGTACCGCGAGAGATTTTGACGGCGCTGCTTACTGGCACGGAAATTCCGGCTTTTTTATCCGTCGCGAATAATTTTGTTTGAGAGATCGTCGTGGAGTTCCTTCAGCGACTCGAAAGATCTCTCTCTCTCTCTCTCTCTCTCTCTCTCTCTCTCTCTCTTTCTTTGTCGCTTTGTTATATTCCGGTGGCGCACAGTCACACGACGACGACGAAGTCGCGCGTTTACGAGCGCGACGCGGCGGATTATCTTCGCGTAGCCTACTTCCTGAAATAACTAGTTTTCTCCGCGACCCGTTGTGTATACCGCGAGTGCGCTAAATTCGGTTATTGGGTCGAGAAATCGAGCGTACTTCGAAAATAATACTCCTGCTTTATACAGTTGATTCTTCGTTCCCAAAATACGGGACACGTCGTTCCGGCGAGGTTCGCTTTCGGAGCGGACAATCGATGCTGCATACGAGAAAATCTCCACGGCCTTGCGTGTTATCATGTCGCGACGCATGATATTGTTTCGCGTCGGTGTTCGTTGTTTTCAACGCATTTTATCGTAACAACGCGATGAGGTAATTAACGTTTGTGTAGTTTTGTTACTTTTAATATAATATTCGTCATTTTAATATCATTAATGTACACATTACACGTGCATACACGAATATGATAAATTCAACTAACTTAAACCACCCGGCGGGGCTTCTATGTAAAACATTGAAATTCAAATTATCACAAAATGTCAAGGAGATGAAATCAGGAGGAAAGAATGAGATGTCCAGGCTTCGTCTAGTCTATATTTTCCGCAGAGTCCTAGACGGTAGGAACTGTTCAAAAACTGTTCGAAATTTGATTCAGATGAATCAAAGCGTTTAGGAGTTAATATAGAAAACATTTTCTGTTTTATATACGTAGATTTAATTTCATTTCATTAAACGGGAGTGTAACGCAATACACGGTTTAACGAGCTTCGCCGACCAGCAATCATCGATATGCCAGTTTTTAAGCCGCCAGTTACGATCGTTGGTATTTGTCGCTTATGATAATCAAGTCCATAAAGAAGCTTTGTTACGTGTTCCGCTCGAAGTTCAACAGTTGCGGCGTGCCTGCGTCTGTTGACGGTGCAACAAGTCGGGTTAACAGCTGTTTCGGCTGCATATAGTTATGTGCACGACGCTGGTGCTGTGGCACTTCGATTTGGCCCAAGTCCAGGCCGAGTTTACGAGGCTTCAGTGAACTTGGGCGTTACGTTCGTTGAATAGCGGGCCGTACTATCAACCATACGTGCATTGATAGTACAGCGTAGCGCGGTGAATGAGGGCACTTCTACTTGAGTTTGGAGATAAGCGCGTGGCGAATAATGCGATTGTCGCGGGCTGCCGATATCGCAAGCCCGGAAGTGTGTGCGCGCGAGCGAGCGACCGCGCGCTCGCGCGTGTACACTCGATATCGGTAATTTAACGATACAATTTAACGACACGATTTGCCGGAATATCGGAAATGAGCGATTGTGCACATCGTCCTGTCATTTTCGACGGGTAGCGCGGGGGCGAAAACAATTACGCCTCGCGAACGCCTCTGTCGCTTTGTAACTGAAAAACTGTGCGATTGGAAACTGCGTCCATTGTATAACGGAAGTGCTTTAGCCTACGTGTAAAAATTGCGTTGGCGAACCGATGTAATGCGTATCGATAATCGAAAAATACGCACGTGTAAGCTTCCGGACGTGTAAATTCCGGATTTTGTTTCGCGTCCCCCTTTTTTGTTTTCTCTCCTTTCGATTTTCGGGCGACGCAATATTTCGAATGCACGTTTAAATGTCACTCGCAAATACGAGTGGCACGTGTGTGTAAATGTGTGTATGTGTGTGTATGTGTCGTAATAGCTTATTACTAGAGAGAGGTACGACCTACCAGAGCTCCGCGAATCAATAAAGTTCGCCACAACAACATCAGCACATAATTATTAACTCTTTCAAAGTGCGTTTTTCTCAAACGAGTGGAAAAAAGAATGCCGCGTCGGTTGCCTCATACAGAGTAACGAAGAGTTTGAGCTATTTGTGGAAGGTGTATATAATGTATAACGTGCGTGCACGTAGGGTTTTGCGGGATTATCTCGAGCGCTTAGCGGAAAATCTCTATGTTCAACGACCGACCACCGAGTCGATGTTGCATTATTTTTTTCCTTTTCTTTCTCTTTCTTTCGATTAGATCGGTTTCGTCGGCGTTGATACAAAAAGAAAATCCCGATAGACGTGATGCAAAGCAAATATTTACGGGAAAATATCAATCTACCGAACAAAAGAATGTAAGTCCGCGATCGGGAACACGTCGTGTGATCCCCAATGCGCGATATTTATTCCCGGCGCATGTAAGCGTTGAATATATTTCCATTCGTTAACTCTCCTCGTGAGATTGAAAAACACTGTGGACTAAAGAACCGCTGAGTTATGACGCACTGCCGCGCGCATAGTCCAGCGACGATTTTTGAAAGGATGAAAAAGTTGTCCTCGCGAAAATTTCAAAAAATCTCACTTTGTCCGCGCGACGCACGTAACTCTGCCGCATGTTCTTTAATCCCGTATTTTTTCATCATTTATAACGAGTACAAAAAGTTAACGAGTGCAGCTGTGATCAAAGTTTATGCGTAAAATATCACCTGAACCGTTATCCGTCACTCTGAATCGTGAACTTGTGTCCCTGTTTTTCGGAAGATTAACGTTTCTATACGAGTATTTGTTTATATCGCGACTATACGGGCGCAATATCGATCACCAATTTGTAAATATTTACAGGAAATGGATACATCTTGGCACAGCGAAAACCAGCTTACATAAGCTAGTTTTTTATATATGAATCATCCGTTTAGTCCGACATAAATATTGACTCGCGCGAGACAAAATTACACGTGACACGCGAAGTATCGGCTGAATGGAAAATTCTTCTCCATCAAGAACGTAATTTCCCGCAAGAATCGCAGAAATGAAGGTCTGTTAATTGGTGGTCGATACTCGTATATTTTTCAATATTTTTCACTTTAATTATTCCGTGTAACTCACAAGAGAGCGAAGATTCTCCGTGTGAGATAATTTCAAACGTGTGTGTATGTGTGTGTATGTGTGTGTGTATGTATGTTTGTGAGAAAGAAAAATCGGAAATGCTTTATTTAGAAAATATTTGATCTAAAAAAGATTTTATTTCGAGACAACATGCTCTCTCTCAGGCTCACGTAACGTACACATATCAAAGGGTCGAAAGGGTGGCGGACTGACAGGACATTGAGCAAATAGAAGGTCAAATCACTGACCGGGACCTTCGGAATGTCCCTCATCGCGTAGATATCACAGGACGGATGTGATATTCCAGCGGACGTTAAATCGGTATGATTCAACCAGTTTATACGCGCATTCGATCACGGTCGTCAATAACTGTGATTAATTGTGACGTGATGCACGCGATGCTCGAATTGGAGTCCTGAATTGAACTTGGGAAGATTTATAATTTCGATTGACAATAATTCTTCATGTTCTAACTTACTTTCCTTCTTCTCCCCCGAAAGCATAAGTTTCATCGATTTGCTTTGCTCCATGTTGAAAAGTCAATTTGGAATCACCCAGCGATTCAAGAAAATGACATATAAACGACTCGTTCCTCGCAAACATCAAAATTGAAACTCGCAAATTATTTTACACATTTAATACACGCCCGCTCAGAATATACGTTTAGAAACTTTGCTTCCGTTGCGAATTAAAGTTATTCTCGCGGAAGCAAATTGATTCTATTTTCGTGGCGTAAAAGATACGCGGTGAGACTCAATCAGAAGCAAAAACCTCGTTGTTTTTCGATTTTTACTGATCAAGACCAACTTATGTTGCTCTCCCTTCTCTTCTCTTTTCGTCCCTACTTACCTCAGGAACGTGGACAGAGCGTTTCCAGAGGAAAAGCTGGGAAACAGGGTCCGAGACATGCACCGTCCTGAACGTTAAGGACCCGTACAGGTCCTCGATTGGTTCTCTCGATTTCGTCCACGCTCTGGCTCCTCTCGCTACACTCGTTGCGACGCACTCTCCCTTTCTTTTCCCTTTCGATCTCTCTCCGCCGCTCCTTTGTCCCTCTCGCTCCGTCCCCTTCGAACCACAGCAGCGACAAGTGGCAGCTTCAACGGGTAAAATTTCCACACGAGTTCGACTACTTCAAGTACCAGCGCTTTCTCTCTCTCTCTTTCTCTGTTCCTACCTCTCTTCCTCTCTCTCGGCAGATATCTCGCGCTGATACGATACGGCTTTACGACCGCGGTTATTCGAACGAGAGCCTGAGGTGCCTGCCGATACGTGGGCTCATTGATTTCGCGAGACGAACGGGCATACGATGATGTGCACGCGAGGACGTGCCCGACGGGAGTCAAGAGCGAGGAGCGTAGGTAAAGCGACGCCGGTGCGAAGCGCTGACTGAACCACTGGCGAGGCAACGAGGGGTGCTCCGTACCGTGTAGGTCCCCTCTGCTTTCACCCTGCCGACTGTCGTCTCTCTCTCGTTCTCTCCCTCATCTTTACTCCTCCGAGCATCATCCCTCTCCTCTCTGCTCGCCCTCTCTCCCTCTCTCTGGCATGCTCGCTCGCTCGCTACTCGTCGCTCACCTCTTCCCTGCCTCCCTCCTACATCCCTCTTCATCCCTGCCGCTTCTACCCTTCCCTCCCGCGCGTCGTGTACAACCTACGCTACGCCGTAGTCGTCCTCGATGGGGTGGAATAGCGTACACACGTTACACAGAGAAGCAACGGCTGTGCGATCCTACGATCCTGCGCCCTGACTCGCTGGAATATCGCGAGGTATCTGCCTTTCTCTACCCCTGCAGCTCTTTCTGCCGCCCTCGTCACCCATCCTCTTTCTCTTTCCACGTCTCCCCCTCTTTCTCTCTGTCTCTCCATCTGTCTCGTCGCGGTGAGATTTAGGCCGTCCTCGGAGGACGAAGATAGGGGTTCTTAACCGGCAGAACTCGCGATTTCGCATACCGTCCTGCTTCTTAGCCTCGAAAGCACGAACGCGGAATTTCGCAGTCTCGCGTTATCGCTTCCACACACACATACATACATAGGTAGTTGCGGAATCAGGGCTGGGATAGTCGAAGTTCCTGCTTAAGTAGGGCGACGATAATTATCCAATGATGGACCCGCTTGGACGACAGCTTAATAAATTTAATTACTTCGATTCTAACGAACGTTAATGTTAACGTAGAGGACTCATGGGAAGAGATCTCTCCGTTGTAGTTAGTCATGGTTTACTGAAAATGTATTTCTTGCTACAACTAAAAATTTACTGGTGTAGCCATCAAAATTTCTGTCATTGTTGCCATTACATCGGTTTTATAGCATAAATATATGTTTACTGGCAGCTAGATTTTTAGATATCCATATGTTACAACGAGGTTTAGTTACCACACACAGATTCTTGCTGTCGCAAGTAATTTTTCTTTTCCGTGACTTTTTGTATATGGCTTTTTGTAAATAGCATTCTTTTCATATCGCGCTTCTGGCGTTGAGGAAATGACGGGCTGACTTTAAGTGAAAAAGATCGGTGTGCTCGTGCGTTCACGTCCTCGAGGGCAGCTCCGCGCTGCGCGTCCTTGCTCCGTGAACGATATAAACGGAATATCGTCGAGAGGAAGGCATAAACTGGAATTATGCGACGCGAGGCGAGCAGTCTTCGTTTCCGCGCAGTAATCCTCCGACATGGCACGCGTTGCGTCCACCCTCGTCGACGCGGAATCCCAAGTCAGAAATTTAATGTCGCAAGAGAGGAACAGAATATTGCGGCCACGGGCATATAAAAGCACAAGTTTGAAATGACTCGGCGTGATAGGGAAAAAATAGAGAAGATCCTTTCTTTCAAGGATCTTTTTTCCAGTCTCGAAAATAAGACATCGACGACGCAACAGAAAGATTCAGAAGACACTTGAAGAACATTTAAATAGTATCCGAATAATTAGGTCATCTTTTACACGCTTTTTTTAGCTAGAATTGTAAAAATACAACCATAGCTTCTCTGTCTCGCTCTTTCTCTTTACGCGAATTCATTATTCGTTCGTAACAGCTCCGTAGGACTCATCGTCAAAGCGATTCCTTCGCGGATTTAATAATTTCGCATGAATGCCGAGATATTATATTCGCATGTACTTGAAAAATTTCTAAAGACCAGGAGATGCAGTAATATCCTGACGTTGAGGACATAAAAGGAACGTACGACCGTGGTATATCGCGGCAAGCGTCTCGGTGGCGTTCTACTTTACGGCAAATTTATATGAAAATTTTTACGATTATTGTTCCTTCAGACATTGCTGCCCACAATTACAATTCGTACGCATCTATGAAACACGCGATCATGAAGATTCTCAATTTTTTACTTGACAAAAGGCGTATCTTCTGTATTTTACGTGTTACCGTGAAGATTTAAGTGTTCTCATAGAAGAAAAGGATCAACGTGTATTAAGAACATGATGAAATTTATATTATTTTCTTTTTTAATTTTATTATATGTATTATGTATTATATATTCCTACAATATTAATAAGTGTATCATAATAATACACTGTCACAGCGCACCATCGATCAAGTGTAATTTACTTATCGAACCACGATTCGTGACGAATTCTGCTTACTCTCGGGTCGTCCGGTCTGTAAACTAAAATATGAGAGCGAGATTAGCATTAGCGCGTCCTAAGCTTGGTTAGGTAACTGCGCGTTATCTAATTTTCGTCCACGATTCTGTTTTATCGGCGGATGCGACTCGCGATTGTGTAATCATAACCCGAGGAAATCCAATTCACTTCGAGGAAATGAACTCACTCATTTTTCCTTTATTTTCGATTACTTACTTAAGGGTAGTTTATGATATTTCGGGGTCATATCGTGCGTTTTGATGTACCAAACCATGAAACCAAATCCACCAGTCGCTATCAATGTCAAGGGTGTGCATGCCATTATGACGGGGATTTCGGTCCACCCTTTGCGCCAGAAGTACTTAACCTTCGTCCCTGAAATCAAATGAGCCACACGTAATTGTGATATTCATCTCTACATGTTTCTACGTAATCATTGCATTCGATATCTTACAATAGCTGGTGCCTCGTAAAAGATCAAAGTCCGGGGCGAGCTTAGATCGCTGACTAATCTTCACCATAGTCGTTGATTTAACCTAACAATCCAGTACGAATAATATCAGCTCGCTTGTGACTGTCGACGCGTACCCTCACAACACGTTCTTGTTTACGAGGAAAAACTGACGGAACTTCTCAGCAGTGTTGTGGAGAAGAGGTTAGGAAAAGAAACAGCTGTTTCTGTCGTTCCGCGCGCCACGTGCGACCACACGAGGCAACCAAATCACACGTCGATACTATCGTTGCGTGACTTTATCAGTTAGAATTTACGTTTAGAATATCAACAGAATATAGTTGAGTGAGTGCTCAAGTATATTCTATCAGGACATTATATTTCCAGTAAAAACGTCAGTGACATAACATCAATTTTATAATTTTCCACTAAATATATATTTTTATAAATTTTTATATATTTATATATAATATAATATTTATATATAATATAATATTTATATATAATTTTTATATATTTTTATTATTTTTATATATTTTTATAAATCGCTACAAATCGTATCGATAGATACGATTGCCATGTAACGTCGAAAATCAGTTATAGAGTCGATATTCATAATCTAATCTTATATTTAATATCTTCTTAAATTCATTCTCAGATGCTTCGTAGCCACTAAAATAATCCGCAAAAATTAAAATAGCATCTGAAGATGGACTCGAGACGATCTTAAATACAAAATCTGACTGTGAATGCCTTTGATCCAGATCTACAATGTATTTTTTATTTCCCGTTTCTTTCTAACTTAAACTTAAGAGAAAATAAAAAATAAGGAACAAATAGCAAAGAGCATATTGTAAATCAGACTTTAGAGTAACGCGAAACATCAGACGTGCATCCATTAGTGAGTTATCGCACTTATTCTGGTTACAAACATCGATTATATCTAATCTGTTTAAGTCTTGATTTGAATAGAGCTTAAACTGAGAGACTAATATGCAATTCTAAACAAAATCGTAAAACTCGTAAATAGTTCTCGTAAGACTCGTAAGAACGTATGAGTAGATCTGCAATTCTATGCGGACTGTATGTCATATGATAAATATTATATGTCGTAAATATCTACGATTTTCTTTTTTTTTTTCGTAAGCTACGACTTTGCGATTTTACGATTTACTCGTATATTTGCTTAGAATTGCAGCATAATACTGCAATTCTACACAAAACTCGTAACTTGCCCTCGTAAGACTCATAAGAACTTATGAGTAGATCTGCAATTCTATATGGACTATATGTCATATGATAACTCGTAAATATCTACGATTTTCTTTTTTTTTCGTAAGCTACGACTTTGCGATTTTACGATTTACTCCTATATTTGTTTAGAATTACAGCGTAATACTGCAATTCTACATAAAATCATAAAACTCGTAACTTGTTCTCGTAAGACTCGTAAGAATTTATGAGTAGATTTGCAATTCTATGCGGACTGTATGTCATATAATAACTCGTAAATATCTATGATTTTCTTTTTGTTTCGTAAGTTATGACTTTACGATTTTACTCGTAAAGTAAAATCTTTCGTTCGGAGAAATCGAACGACGATTTCTCGATATTTGCTTAGAATCGCAGCATAAGATTCAGTAGAAACAGAATTTAGATATTGTAGAATATGCGAATATTATCGGTCGAATATTCTCCGTGTATTTCAGAATATTGTCGCGTATTCACACAGCGGCGTTTTTTGCCTCACGTCGGAGCGTAACATCAACACGCTCGTAACGTCAACACGCGCCCGGCGCGGCGCGGCGTGCCGGCTGACGTGTTACCATGCGAGCAGCTGCGCGCGCCGCCATCTCACGAGTCTCGCGCGAGCCGCCATCTCACGAGTCTCGCGCGAGCCGTGCCGCGGAGCGGACCAGTATGGCCGCCGTCGCGATATCTTTAATTAGTGACAACTGATTCGTTCCGTGTTTTCGCAGACAGAGTGGCGAACGAGGGGAGCGCATCCGACCGCTGCACGAGTGGCAGATCCTGGCGGACCTCGACGTATCGGTGAGTGTTGAAATTCAATTCAATTAACGTCGCTAGCACGCGCTACGGATCGGTACATCGCGCGAGCTCCTCACACCCTGGCCGTTCCCACGCAGCTCTTTTTGCATTAGCAAAAAGCGACGACGCACGGTCACGTCGTACGTCGGCGTCGTCGTCGTCGACCGCGTCAGCGTATTCGGCGCCGCGAAAACGCAAATCGTCACTCACCCGGGCTCGGTGAACGTGACGGAAAGGTGATTGACAGGTGCGACGAGAGCCTGCACGGTTCATCAACACAACCCGGAACACATTTCAATTATGTCACGAACATCGCGTCACACAGCCGTGTTTCCGCGTCGTCGCGATCCGTGCAAGAACGTCCGCCGGTCGTCCGGCGATTTGAGGTTAGATGCACGCCGAGATCACAACGGGTTATTTCGCGTCGATGTTTACCGTATTTCGGAGCCGAGATTTCGGCCTCCCACATTGTCGGAGCGAGAGATCATCGGTTGGAATGTGCGTCATGGCGACTTCGCATTGTACCGTGCGATGTCGCCACGAGAGAAAACTGTTGGCTGCGTGTCGGGCGAGAGTATTTTCGTCGGGTTTGTTTAATTTTTTTTCTCTCGATCATTCTCCGTGCGTCGTTGTATCTGCTTGTGGTAGCAACGACACGGAACTACACGTTTATCTATCGATCTATTCATAGCGCAATCGACAACACGACTTATCTCGCGATCGTATCATCATTCAATGCTATCAACAGCGGTCCAGTGTGCTAGCGACGATTGTTTCTCTAGATTGTTAAGGAATGACGTTTGCGATAACGACTGCAACGGGCTGACAACGGAGGGTTTATGATTACTAATTATCTAAAGCAGAGATAATGAGATTATACGTGAGATCTCATCTCACTGATATCGTATAATTACAAGCATTATTTGTCAATAAAAATTAACGATACCAATAAATTAGATTCAATGGCATCTTAAGGTAAAGGTTTTTTATTTGAATATTTAAGAATAGTTTTTATTTGGACATTTGAGAATATATTTTAATTATAAATAAGATTGACACTTTGCAAGTTGTATCTTCTTAAATTTCACTTGCGGTAACACGGAAGGAAAATTCATTGATCATTCAAAGTAGATTATGAGATTATACGAAACTTATCTCGTTATAATATCGTTTCGATTGCAAACGTCATTTATCAATATTAATTAAAGATGTCAATGGATGTTAGGTTCAATGGCATCTTAAGGTGAGAATATTTTATTTGAACATTTGCTAATATTTTTTATTTAAATATTTGAAAATGTTTTATATATATGTTTTATATATGTTTTATATATATGTTTTATATATATTTGAATATTTATTGTTTGAATATTTTATATACATGTTTTATATATATTTAAATATTTATTGTTTGAATGTTTTATATACATGTTTTATATATATTTGAATATTTGTATTGAATAAGATTGATTTCGCGAATTTGTCCTTTCTTAAATATCATCCGCGGTGACACAGAAAGAAAATTTACTTGCACAAAGCCAGTTTTAAGTAATCCTCGCACAGTCGGGCCAAAACCGCTTTTGAAATACCGCGCGTACAAGAATTTGTGAATTCTGCGGTTGCCGTTAGGAGAGCATGTGTCGCTATTTACTCCGAAATGATGCTCAAAATGTCACGCGGCGCGAACACAATCGCGCGATATTTCTGTATTGTGGAATATGTGCCAGAAGATTATGATATTTGTGGAACACTATTGTCTTTATGAGGCTCGTAGATTAAAAATAACGCGCTAGAATACCAGAACACGGAATTTTACAACAATGAGCAGTACAAGAACAATATAATTTGATCATAATCGCGATTATTCGAATAAACGAAAAAAAAAACTTTTACACACGAAACGATAATAACATCAAAATTGTCACGTGAGTTTTAGAGGAATCTTTTCTCTTAAAAAAATCGTGCTTTAACATAATCTGATTACAAATTATTTTTCTTCGTATAATTGCGCAAAATTTATATTAACACGAAAATATATTTTGCATCGCCACATCGTATTATCTTATGTTTGCTCGTTTGTAAGAACGTTGCACGTGCGGGAAACGAAAGTCCGAGATCAATTCCCCGCTCCGAGAACTCGGTTTTGCGGTAATCACGACTGTTTCTTACCTACGGGGG